GGGAAGTACACACCTTCAAATTTTGTTCATATCCAGAAGCAAAAAATTGACTGAATGACGGTTCGTATCCTGAAAAGTTCGCATGGTGGGGCATTCATAAGCCGAGGTTCCATTGTATAGGGAAAATGATTAATCATTTCCCATGAAAAAAATCCTATTGTTATTGGCATATTATACAATGATGGGGTTGTAAAAATAATTTAAACACTGCTTAATACTAAAATATGTAAATACAAAAGAATTAGATGAAATAAATGCAAATTTAACCTCACTGTATTTTGCTGAAAAGAGTCGAGTGCCTACCAGGATAGTGCTGAGAAGGCAGGAGGAAATGTTATTGTTTGGAAGGAGAGTCCCCTTCTCTTTTCCCTATTTCGACCTGGTTGAAGCTCACCAGGTCCAAAGAACTTTGCTTCTGCCTTCTCCTCAGGATGTTTTGGAAATGTGACATAGTCTGGTCATTCCATTATTATTATTATTATTATAATGACAGGAGCGCTAAACCCATAGGATTATACAGCGCATGTGGGGGAATGGAAGGTATTCAGGCTCAATTCAGGGAACTGGAGCACAGATCCAATTCCCTAGATCAAGAGCCCCTCACCAGCATCAAGGAACCTCCCTTGAGGGGAGTGATCATTCCAGACAATGCTATTATGGCTTGTTTGGGATTTGTTGGGGTGGTACTTCTCTGCAAAGTTTTTGACGTCCATCTATTTGGCAAAGATTTCCTTGATTAATGAAGTAGGTACTTCCCCTATCTCCTCTTCTGAGCCTGAAGAGAGTGCATCCATCTTAGACTTGTGCTCCTCCTTCTCAAGTTCCTGTAACTCCTCAGTGGTCAGCTCTTCCCTGTGCTCCTCCACTAACTCCTCCACATCACCATCACACATCCAGACTCATGGACCTGCCCAGAGAGACAATATCCTCCGCTGTACCATTTCCTTCGTTGCTTGGTTCTTCTCATTAACTTTCTTAGAACTCATGGTTAATGAATTTACTAAAAATTTATACGACAAAACACAAAATCACGTAAAAATTCACAGTTACAGTGCGGGTTGTTACAGTATGCAAACCTAAGTAATGTATATTAGAGGTGTGTACGCATTAGATGAATTAAATATGGGCAGTCGTGGCTTTGTAAACAAGGGTAGCACACGATGTCATGACTCATTTTGACCCATATAAGTTCTAGTACGCGAGTCGATATTCTAAAGAAAGGTCACATACCAAGCTAAAATTTTCGTGTCCAAACAGGATGTATACCAAGTTGGACTTATTCCAAAGTGGATGTATACTGAGGTACCAATGTATCTGTTAATGGTATCATAAGTTCTTATAAAAAAATATTAATAAATATTACATTGTACACTACTACATAATTGTTATGACAAATCACAAAACACTACTTTATCTTGGTCATCAAAACTCATAAACCTGCTAACATAAACAATACATGTCTACTGACTGCGTGCAGAGACTATTATTGATAGTGAGATAGAACACTAGGGCAAAAGTTTGAGATGATAATGGTGTTGAAATTGGGACGTGCAGTTGTCGTGTTGATTTCAGTTGTTGTTTTATATTCGTGTTGCCTACAACCCCACTGGAAAATCCTTACCTATTTTACAATATTACCAACTTAAGAAAATGGTGCCTACAATTAAAATTTTTATTACAGAAACTATAAAATATTTTTGTTTGAAAAAATATAACTTTCATAATATGCCTTGTTATTAAATAAATTTGGTGCCAACTGAGCATTCATTACCACACGTTTTCATTTTGCTCCATATGGGTAAATTACATAAATAATATACATACATTTATTAACCAACTCTAATTTAATCACTGTCTATGATATTTCTCTATGCAACAATTTGAATTTTTTGCAAAAACTGTACTGGTAAAAAGAAAAATAGGAACTCTGGCTTAAGTTAAAAACTTCATATCTAATAATTAATCTATGTGTTAATTATCAATAAGTAAAGCATATTTGCAGAAGATGCGAATGATACCCCAATTTTTACAAATTTTGTTTTTAACACGTCGGTCGTCTTCCCCCGAGGACATGGTGAACCCAAAGAAGTAAACACTTCATCATCATTCACAACATTTCACTGGCTTTGCGCTGAGGTGCCCACTATGACAGTTTAGATGGTCTCTCCTAACAGCCAATATCCCAAACCCCTCCTTTATGTGACTGGTTAATATTTAATTAGATATGGCCAAAAAAGGAAAGCAAGGGGGCTAGTAACTCTCTCTCTTTATAAATTACTATAAAAAAAATGTTTTATAAAAGAAGAAAAACTGGATTTTTTTTTTCAAGTCACCCTGCCTCAGGCTGGGAGATGACCAGTAATTTTTTTTTTAAACACAATCAGCTGGTTTCCACCAAGTTCGGGTAACCCGAATAATAAGGAAACAATTTTCGTCATCAACTGATACACTGATATGACCAGTATGTTGATAAGAAAAAACATTTATAAATTCATATGATTTGCAGCTTCATGATTCATGTACTTTAGTCTTGTCCCTTTCTAAGGCTATTATTAACACTAAAAGGTCCATACGTATATATATATATTGTTCACTTAGCACAGCGCTCCCGAATATTTGAAAAAACAAAAAAAAAAGCTTTTTTTTTTATAGAAAAAGAGCAACATTTTTTTAAGTATTTTAGAATATAAAATAATTGAGGGTCAGTATTTTACCGAGATATGAGGCTGAGAAGTTGGCTCTGGATGAAACTCAGGTGAAAGTAACATGGAGTACTGCCACTTGCAGAGTGTATGCCAATATCCTTTTTTTCTATTTTTAATATTTTTTATTTAATTTTTTTGTTCTGGTTAATTTCTATTTGTAGTAGTTCTTGTCATTTTATAACCAATCTTTGTTCTGACACTAGTTTTAGGTACTGAAAATTGTACTCAAATTGTCACAAACACAATGACAGGTGGACATTTTACACCTGCCATTGGTCATTTAATATTGTCTTGGAATAATACAAAGTATTTTATGTCCCAGCATGTTTGGTATTATGTGGAAGTTTATATGGAAGTTTTATCCCGTGAAAACAAAAAACCTGTTAACTGTTTTGCATGATGTAGGGTTTGCTGTTTCTTTTTCTGTCTCATAAAACGCTATGATAACAGGGATATCTTGATACTCCCTACTTACACTTTGGTCACTCTACTAGACATGCACATGCCATAAATTTATATTCATACTTCTAGGTTTTTCTCCTTTTTCTAATAGCTCTTGTTCTTTTTTTATTTCTTCTATTGTCCATGGGGTTGTGGGGATTAGTATTTTCATAAGTATAGCCATGCCTGTAGTTTGAGGAGTTTAAATGCAGGGAGCTAGGGGTTGTATTACCCTTCCTATGGTTTATAATTTCTTTTTATTTATTGTGTAGTTGTTAATATACTTTTTTTATTATGGGTGGCTTATATGTGAGTGGATGTGTCAGTCGCGGATGACAAGAAACAGATGATTGATGATGTTAGAATGAAAAAGAAGTTGGATGTCATGGCCCTAAGCGAAAACAAGCTGGGACGGGGGATAGGAGGTGTTTCAGTGGGGGAAATTATGAGATTAAATCTGGAGTATTATGAGAGAGGTTTAGAGCAAAGGAAGGGGTAGCTGTAATGTTATATGATCAGTTTATGGAAGGAGGTAAAGAGAATATGAATGTGTAAATTTCGAGAATTATGTGATTATAGTAAGGATTGGATGCAGAGGAGTTGGTCATAATAAGCGTGTATGCACCTGGAGCAAGAGTGGAATGCTGAGGATGAGAGAGAGATTTTGGGGAGATGTTAATGTGGATTGCATGGAGCCTTTGAACAAGTGAGAGAGTAATTGTGTGGTAGGGGACTTGAATGCTAAAGTAGGAGAAGAAAACTTTTAGAGAGGGTGGGTAGGTAAAAGTTTGGGGTGCCAGGTGTAAATGATAATGGGAGCACTTTGATTGAACTTTGTATAGAAAGGGGTTTAGTTTTTGTATTACATATTTTAAGAAAATGAGGATAACTTAGTATAATCGATATGTTGTAGGGCGAAATGACAGTGTTTGTTGGTTTTATGTATTGGTAGATAAAAGACTGTTGAGTTGACTTCGGATGACATGTTTATAGAGGGGCACAGATTTATCAGTTCACTTTCTAGTTTGTAGCTTCACTGAGAGTAAAAAGGTTTTGGGTAAAAGGAAATAGAAGCATCAGGGTAAAGAGAGAGGTGAAGGTTTATAAACTAAATGAGAGGCAGATAGGGTAAGTATAAACAGTATTGGTGGATAGATGGCTAATGAGAGCATGGCAATGGGGGTCGGAGAGCGTATGGGAGGGTAGGTTTTAAATAATGTAGTGTTAGGAGTGTTCAGCAGAAAAGTTTGTTGTTACGGAAGTGGGCTGCAGGAGGGAAGAGGAGCGGATGGTGGAATGTTGATGTAATGAGAGTAGTAAGGGGAGATAAAGTAGCATATGAGAAGTTTTTACAAAGTAGAAGTGAGCAAGGGAGGTAAGAGTATATGGAGTATAAAAACGAGAGAAGTTAAGAGAGTGGTGACAGCAGTGAAGTCAATGTAAAAGAGAGCAATGAGAGAGTGGGTGAGATTTATCACAAATTTTGTTGAAAAATAAGAAAAAGTTTTGGAGTGAGTTTTTTTAACAAGTTAAGAAAGCCAAGAGAACAAATGGATCTGTCATTTAAAAATAGGAGAGGGAGAGTTATTAAATGGAGAGTTAGGAGGTATTGGGAAGATGGAAGGAATATTTTGAGGAATTGTTAAATGTTCGATGAAGATAGGGAAGCTGTTCTGTGATTTCGTGGTATTGGCAAGGAGGAAACTAACATCTTGTGGAGTGAGGAAGAGACAGTTGTGTGTGTGGGGATGTTCGTGAGGCAGTAGGTAAAATGAAAGGGGTATGGCAGCCGGGATTGATGGGAATAAAGATAGAAATGTTAAAAGCAGGTGGGGATATAGTTTTGGAGTGAGTTGGTGCAACTATTTAATAAATGTATGGTAGTGGGTAAGTTACCTAGGATTGGCAGAGAGACGATGCATAGTTCCTTTGTATAAAGGCAAAGGGGAGATAAAAGAGAGTGCAAAAATTATAGGGGGATAAGTATGTTTGAGTGTACCTGGGTAATGTGTATGGTAGAGTTATAATTGAAGAATTAAGTGTAAGACGGAGAATAGGAAGAGATGAACATGGGAGGCTTTAGGAAAGGTAGGGGGTGTGTGGACCAGGGTTTACAAGTGAAAATATAAGTGTTACAGTATTTAGATAAGGCTAAAAGAGGTCTTTTTGGCACATTTAGGGATTTTGGAAAATGGCGTGTCATGACAGGGTGGATAGGGGGAGCCATGGCAATGTGGCAGATGTTGCAAGTGTTTGGTTTGTAGGAGGTAGGTTACTGAAAGCAGTGAAGAGTTTTTTCGAGGGATTAGTGAGGCTCAAGTTTGAGTATGTAGCAAAGAGGGAACTTTTTTTTCCAGTAAAAGTAGGCCTTAGGGACAAGGATGTGTGTGTGATGTCACCGTGTTTGTTTAAATATATTGATAGATGGGGTTGTAAGAGAAGTATATGCGAAGGGTCTTGGGCAAGAGGGTGGAGAGTTAAAAGATTATAGTATCACACACAAGTGGGAGTTGTCACGATGCTCTCTTTGCTGATGACACTGTGCTCTTGGGAGATTCTGAGACGGGATGTTGCAGGATTGGTGATTGAATTTGGATTAGGGGTGTGCAATAGAAGAAAATTAATGGTGAATACAGGGGAAAGAGTATGGTTATGAGGGATAAAACTAAAAGATTTAGGGTGATGAAAGATTGAATATCAGATTGGAGGGGTAGAGAGTATTGGAGGAGGTGAACGTATTCGATAAATCTTGGAGTGGACG